TTTGTGTTTGCTTTCTTTGGTACATATAAAGTCCAACACTTAATATGGCAAACGAATCACGGCACATCTTTAAGACCATATAAGCATCAAAAAAAGAAATCCAGGGATATTCACGAGGCTTGGAATCAATTTTCAAAATGTGTATGCAGAAAAACTGACATGGGATCTTCAGTGTGGTAACTGTTGGTGAGGTGGGGTTATGGTAGGTGTACTAGCAGGTTGTTTGTTAGAACGTCACCACCATTCTTCTCTAAGGTCTTTCCAAAGCCCAGAGGAGGAACTAGAAATTACAAGGATTCCCCAGTTAGAGTTCTCCAAAAAGAGGCCCTGGGGAAGGATTTAGAAATCTGGATAGAAGGAGTGGGCAGAGCAATGTGTGGACAGTTGCTATGTGTAAAGCCATTTCCAAGTGACCCCTGGAGAGTAAACCCCTGGCACAGATGCTTCAGATGGAGAAAGTCAGTGGGAGATTCCCAGGTGCTTCCTGAGTGCCTGTGAAACTTTCTAGCAAGCTCTTGAGAATCACTGACTTGGATACTGGTGAGGATGCCCCACCCTCTGGGCAGCCTTAGTACAGTCTTTAGAAATTCACCCCCAGCAATAGACATTTCCAAGTTTTGCCTCTCCAAGTAGTTTTTTTTTTTTTCCCCTTACTCCAGCACAATGCCACAGTTATCCCCACCTGCCTTGATTCATATATCCTGTGTGATGAATGTCAGGGGTGACCTAGGAATCAAGGACACAGACTTGAATTTATTTTAGCCCCTTGTCTCTATTGCTGAGTGGCTCTGATGACGCCCAGTAGTTCTTGGTGTATTCTTCTATTCAATGGAAACATAGTATTTGCCCTTCCTATTTTTAAGGGTATCTTAAGAATGATATGATATAATATCTAAATAAAGATCCATAAATGTGAATTCTACTTGCAACAGTTAAACAGAGTGGCAGTGTCTGGCATGCTAGGGCTATCTCCTGTCTACATAACATATTTATGTGAAAAAGACATTTCTCCAACAAATATGTCAATATTCTTTATAACATGACATCCACTGAGAATATGATATATAAATTGCCACTAGGTTTACAACAGAGATCTCTGACACAACCCCAAATCTTCCAACCTCCAAAGGAGATGCTCAAGCCTGGAACAGCATTCCCAGAAAGATTTCAGGTAAACCATTCTAAATCCATGTATGCACCGTCAGCTACAGTTTTATGAGAGTCCAGCCCCTTCTTTGAAAGCATCCATTGCTTTATCCTATTTGATACCACAAAAACACCAAAGTTAAAAAAAAAAAAAAACTCCAACATTATAATAATCATCTACTTGGAAATTATGCCTTGAGGCTATCTGTTCTCTGGAAATGAATCAGTAGCATGACTCCCTTCCTTGGAAATTTGAGTTTCTGAAAGCAACAGAGTTGTCAACTGAAGTATAAGAGGCTGGCCCTTCCATTTATTGTGCCCACCCTTAAAGAAGATGGAGCTCCTTTTTCACATGCAATCAAGTTGCCTCACAGAGGTATCTAAGAGTCAGACTCTTCTGCTGGGTTTCTATGACTATATTTTTTTACTGAATAAATATTGTGTTAACCCACTTTCTGCTACCATAATAAGTACCAGAGAAAAACAAGTTATAAAGAGAAAAGGTTTATTTTAGCCCATAGTTGAGTTGACTTACTGCTTTGGGGACTGTGATGAGACAACATGTCATGGTGGGAGCACATGGCAGAGAAAGTTCCAACCTCATGACCAGAAGTGAAACAGAGGAAGAAGAGAGGCTGGGGTTCCAATACCCCTTCAAGGGAATGTTCTCAATGACTTGAAGACCTCCCAGTAGACCTTACCTTTTAAAGATTCCACCAGGTCCCATGGCATGGATTAAGGACTAGGCCTTTAACATATCCTTCTTTGGAGAGCCCTTATCCCAACCATAGAAAAAAATATATATATATTGAGCTCTGAGTAAATAGCAGACCCTATGTCATGCAATGCAGATACAGCTGTGAGCAAACAGAATTTTCTCCATTACTCTTAAAAGCTTATAGTTTATCTAGGAAAACTGTCCCTGGATAAGAAAGACTGTTAGAATGTTAATGTATAATGTAGGATCAGAAGAGTCTTCCTTGGAGCTGTGACATCTAAACTGACACCTCAACAATGATGGGAAGAAAAGTTAGAGTTAGTACTGCTTCTCAGGGGCTTTCACCTATGAGGAGTTTAAGACATACAAACCCGAACCCTTCCTACAAAGCAGAATGTGAACAATTGCTTCAAGGAGGTAGAAACAAATATTATAAGTAATCTCAAGAAGGAGAAAAACCAATAAAGCTTAGATCAGGAAAAGTTTCATGTAGGAACCAGAAAGTGCTGCACATGACTGTGCCTATGATATATGGAGTGTCTGTAAGATACAAATGGAAAAAACTGAGCCTCCTGCTTGCTGATCATTATTCTGGGCCTGGTCTTCTTTTGCATTTGAATCTACAGTCCTTAGGACATGAATCTTGGGCCTATCATATTCGACATTGGAAGTTACATCAAAGGACAAGGGAAAATGCGATGTGTATAGAAAAATAGCAATTTGCACATGAACTACAGTTTTGTAGTTGTTGGTGCGGAAGGAAAAGAGATTGGGAACTAGGTGAATCAAAAATTATTTTCAAATCGAAGTTCCAGTTGGGATTTTATAGATCTAGTTTCAGACATCAAGGAGGACTTAACTTGGGGGATTGATGCAATTAGCCTCCGCACTGTGAAAGACCTTCTCTGCCTAAGTGTTTGTAGGATGTCAACAAGGTAGGAATGAATGGCAACCAAATAGTTGGCTAATTTGTATAGTCAGTAATTTAAAATAGTTTCCTTAAATATAAAAAACAACCTGGCATTAAGTAGTTTTTCACTGTGATTGCCAAAAAAAAAAAAAAAAAGTACTGGCTTTCCTCATTTGTTGGTGTTTGATTCATGCTAAGATGAAATGTACTAGAGAGATGAGTCCAACCATCAACCAGACTCAGTGAGTTTCTTTGGTGCTCTCTTCACGAGGCAACCGGTGTGTTAAATATAGAGAGATATTCCTCAGTACCACAGAGATGTCTGCTGTTGACTTCCTTTAAATAATATTTTTACATTTTTTCCCATTGATATTGGGCTCTGATGTCATCTGAGAGCATCGAATCACATTCTAATTACTTCAAGAGGTATTTTTTCATTATATGAGTTTTACTCAAAATACCTTTAAAACTATGGTCTTCTATTCTGTTTCTTTGAGGCTCAGATTTCTCATATTACTAATAAAATGACAGATGATGCTTGTCCTATTCCTAATGATTATCATTCATCTGATCACATGTTTCATTGTGAAATCTCAGTTTCATGCCAGATACACTTTTGCAAGGGGGCTTGAGGTCTCAGACTTCAGTTCCCATGAAAGTTCCTATACAAGTTCCTCTATAGGTGATGGAGTAAAATTACCTTTAACCACCTACAAGAAAGTAGTGAATAAACTTAAGAGGATAAAATGCTAATTTGAGAGTTAATTTATTACTCATTCTCCATAATATTATTTGCTTAGAGGAATTCCCACATAGCAGTCTGTACAGGAATAAAAGACTTTCCTAAGGACATTCAGTGAGAAAGAAAAACAATGCTCCTCAGAATGCAGCACATTAGGAGCTGCTTCTCACACTTGACTTTGAGCAAAAGTGATTTGCACAAAACTGTCACATAATAAAGCGAATCACAACTGAACTGTAATTGAACCAAAGTATATGTAAATATAGAGAAGTTTTACCAATGCTCAGACCCCAAACAGTCTACGCCTGGAATCCTACATTACTCTCTTCATCTTTCTGGTAGTTTTTCAATGAAATATTAACGTCACAGTGCAGAGGGCCCGTGAGACATCTCTAGGGCTAGATCCACCACTTTCTAAGCATCCCCACAGCCTATTCTCGTATCTACCCATGCACTGTAGCTAGGATGACAAAGTTGGGACAGTCCTTATTCAGTGTCCCATTCTGTAGAAGGGAATTTTCTGCCTGAGGAAACAACATTTAAAGTCTGTGCTGCTCTCAATCTAAGCTTCTTCTTACTTACCCTCAGGAGACAGATTCATTATTAGGAAACATAGCTCTAATCATTACCAGGATAAAATGAAGTAATTGAGTTACATTGCATGGTCTCATCTTACCCTTACCATTCCCAGCTTAGGCAATGACACAGTCTTTGGCCCAAACTGCCAGTTTAGGGATAAGGCATTTGCAAACTTTATTCCAAGTCAGTATTCTGTCTGCTTTTGAAACCTAAGACTCTACCGATGGCAATATGAATTATGGCTTTGGAAGAACTGGGTACACCAAATTAATGTTTTGGGCATTAGAGAATTCAGTAAAAACTACACATAGATTCTGACCACTATTTTTTAAATATATATATTTTTTAGGTGTCGCTGGATATATTTATTTATTTATTTATATGTGGTGCTGAGAATCAAACCCAGTGCCTCACCCATGCCAGGCAAGCACTTTACCACTGGCTACAACCCCAGCCTGGATTCTCTCCATTATTTTTACCAGGTAAATTTAAAAATTTAAATTCCTTTGGGCTATAACAGAGAATTTATCTACTTTGAAATTATAGATTTCAACTATTGAATTAGCAAACAATGATTTTTTTTTAACAAATATTAATGAATTTCCCTCTTTTGCTAGTGCTGGAAGTAATGATCTCCTCGGTAATTTTTAAATACTATAATCTCTTTATGTGAAGTAAAAAAAAAGTCACAAAATTATACTGTGGATATTTATATGTCTCCCCAGTAGACTGCTACTAAATTCTGGTAAATATGGTTTAAAATCATTCAGTTTGACAGGTATGGTTTTCCCATCAAGGACTTGAAAAGCACTGTGTTCCTCCTGAAGTGCCAAGAGCCCAGAGCACCTCAAGGCCAAGTGTCCCTCCCCACAACCTCTGAAAGCAATAAAAAATTGAGGTCCCACCTCTGTGACTGGTGAGTTCTCTGGAAGCAGAAGGCAGGGGTGTGTAGTGGTGCATCTCAGGAGAGGCAGAGGCAGCAAGGTCCCCACTGGAAGCCTGCATGATAAAAATAAATGTCAATATGAAGCAACATCCAACGCAAAATCCCCTTGTTAACCAAACATGTCCCTTGGGATCTGAATTTATCCACAGAGACTCTTCTTAGGAAGCAAGAGTGGTCTTTGTTGACATAAAATTCTGTAAGTATAGGGTAGGGTACAAAGCTTGGAGGGCCTCAGCACTGTGAAATGACACCATGACAAGAGGCTGGTTTCTTTGTTGGGATGAACTTAAAGGAGGAAGAGGAGGAAAAGGAGAGGCTGAAAGCAGGAAATAGTATAGACTTAGATCTTTTTATCACAGGTCTTCTCCCAGTAATTCCCACAAAGCAAGTGCAGTCGGTGAGCAGATTTCTATGGAAACCAGTGCAGAGGCTAAGTTTGCCCCCAGGGTGGATGAGGAAAAGCAGGGCTGGTATACATGGCCCCGTGGCATGGAGGCAGAGGAAGTAGAAGATATAAAACTCTGCAGCATGAAATCACCATAGGGAAGGACATAAATTGTTACAGGCTGTGCAACTTGGCTTCTGGCTAAGTTTAATGACAGCACTGAGAAATCCATCTGAGACCTGGGTTTGGGATATAGGTTCAGCATAACCTATCCAAAATGCTTTGGACTAGAATATTTTGGATTTCTGATTTTTTAAAATATTTTTGAATATTTGTATATATACAATGAGATATGTTGGCAATGAGATCCAAGTCGGAATACAAAATTCATTTATGTTTCCTATATACCCTATGCACACATTGAAGAAAATTTTATACAACATTTTAAATATGCCTACATTTTGACTGCAACTTATCACCGGAGGTCAGGTGTGGAATTTTCCACTTGTGATGTCATGTCAGTACTAAAAAAAAGTTCTGGATTTGGGAATGTGTTTGATTTTGAATTTGGGGGTTAGGGATGTTCAACTTATATAATAGTTATCAACAAAATATTGTTATTCTAAAGCCTAAAAGAAAATGACCTGAAGTGCATCTTGGATGATGCTTTGTATTGTATATAATAGCTCCTTGACCATAGAACTGATATAGTATGGTCCTGACTATTAACTCTCTCCCTTCTGAACTCCACATCCTTGTGGGTTAAAGTATGAAGACAGTTAGCTGTTGGGTTGGCTGTCATACACTTCAGATGACCAGTGTGTCGTCTTCAGAATATAGCTGCCTATAACAACCAACAACCATTGCAACTCTTAACTGAGATTTCTAAATCAAATGCAACTTTTTTTGTTAATATCCAAAAAAGAACATCTGCTAGGATCAAAATCCTAAGCTTACAACCTTTCCAAGCTCCATGAAAAAGTAAATTTCATTAATGCTCTATTTTTCTTTCCGGAATAGGAAATGCATTCTATGGGATATATTTGCCCTGCTAGAAGCAGGTCTTTTCTCCAAAGAGATTACCTACATTATGGGAATCAAAACTAAGTAGGAGATTATACCTACTTGCTAGAAAAATCCTTTAAACTTCATTTCTGACATTTGAGATGTTTGATTAAGCAGCTTTCGGTAGAGACTTATAGAAAGAGTTCTGAATGGAGTGAAACCAGAAGCTATGTCCCTGGGTAGGAACAGCTTTAGGCAACATTTCTTCACACCAGCTCAAAGACAAATATAAGGCAAATATATGGTGTTTAAAGCTTGATCCAAGGGTGTTGGATCCAGAAAGGCAAAAGCTCAGTTACCAACAATAATGTTTTAAAAAGTGCATAAGATTTGTTATATACTACATCACTAGACATTTAGGGTGTTGCAAGAATGTGAAAGGGTCAGAAATGGGATTAAAATTAAAGTTAAAATACTATAATCACCACTTGTCTCTTTGGGATTCCAGATCTTCTGTAATTGCAACATGATTAATGAAATATAATGACAGTGCTCTAAATACTACAGTACTTATTTAATGCTTAGGGCAGGATATACGGGGTCCTGGAATGGAGACCATCCTTACCTAGATATACATACTTCCTCTATAACAGGCTCTAACTTTTTGTCCGTGTTCTACCTACCTCATTATTGAAAGGGAAAAAAAATCCTAAAATCCAAAATAAGTTTTAAGTTGCTCTATTATGGTATTCTTTAGTACTTTTAATCTCTATGTGGGCTGTTGACAACTTGATGACAGCTTTTCCCAAAATTAGTGGAGGAAATCCTACCTCTAAATAAATACCTTGGACTGTGCAAAACATTAGAATTCTGTGACCAAGAGAAAAAAAAAAAAGAGCTATTTAGTTTTATTTCCAACTGTCAACAGGTCAGAAATGGTGTGGCTTGGGTTGTGTGGTCATCATTCTATGCCCAGCACTTAATTCTTCTTCGGCTTAGTGTCCATTTATAAGCTCAAGTCATGGAAAAGAATAATTCTGCAAGCGATGCTTTCTGGTGGAACTTTCATGACTCAATGTTTAGAAAAACAACTACAAATCAGTTCCAACCACCAACTCTTTGACCTGGCTTTTATCAAAACGAATCCTATTCACTTATTTCAATAGTGATGTTCACACTGGTTTTCTGAATCTTATGCTTAGAAGCATGATTCAAAAAGGCAAAATTATCATATGAAAGAAGTGGACAAGAACGTGTCTTAAATTTGCACACTGTCTGCCAAAGCATAAAGAGTTGACTTTGCAACCGAAGCAGTATACCCACAGTATATTGAGTTTGAGATAATAAAAGCATAAGTAGAAAAATGGACATGATGTTTTATTTTACCTGGACTAAGAAGAGATGCCTAAAATGAGAATAAGAAAATTGGGGCAGCTCTGAATCTTCAGGACTATAAAGGTTCTCAAATCTTTGAATCCTTGCCAATTTTCCTAACTGCCTATTGGCAGGGATTTGTATTTTTACATTTTACTTTTATCTCCTGTTAGAAGATATTTGCCACATTTACAATAAAATACTAGTATCCAGGATACATAAAGAATGTCCCTAAGCCAATAAAAATAGGAAAAAAAAAAATGGACAAAGGAAATGTCAGGGATTTCAAAGAAGAGAAAACCTGAACAGATAATAAACATAGAATTTGCTCAAATTTGCCAGCACTAAAGGCAATGAGAATTAAAACAGGGTACAGTTTTTCCACTGATCCTATTGGCCAAGTTTTAAGTCCCATAACAGCAAGTGCTAGTGAGAATGAAAGAAAATGAAACTGTCCCTCTCATCCCTTGCCAGTAGGAATGTACCCTGGTTCACTACTTTGGAGGGTAGTTTAGCTGCATCCAATAAAACTGAAAATTGGTGCACTGATTCCACTTGGAGAATTTCACACAGGTCTGCAAGTTTACAATGTTTACTGAAGCATCATTGGTAACAGGGAAAAAAAAGTGGAAATAACTTAAATGTCAATAAGGAAAAAGGATAGATAAAATGTTGTATATTCATATGGCAGAATAATATTTACCATTTAAGAGCAATAACTTGATATATCTATATTGAAATATATCATCTCATTTTGAAGAGGTCTAAAATTTATAAAGAGTAAAAATGCAAAATTTATAAAGAGTAAAAAAAGCATCAGTCTTTATTTATCAAGTATATCTTACATAATTTTAAGTTTCCAAATGATAAATTCAGTATAATATTATTTATGTAAATATGAAGTTCTTTGATTTTGTACATGTATGGAAACATCCAAAAATTATAAAACAGACACTAAATTCATGTAAATGATTGGGCAGGGTAACAGGACTGGGGCTAATGGGATGTGGAGGAGTTTCATTTCTATATATGATGGTTTCTGGTTTTATTCATTTTAAGAATATTCTTGAAACAATGACATCAAAATGTTAGAAACTACAAATTTGATATGGTAGCTACGTGTGTTCATTTAAAAAAAAAACTCTATTAAGTTTCTCATTTAATTTAACAGCATGAAGAGAAGTGTCTCTTTGTATTAAGATGACATTACTATTTCCCCAGGTACCAGATACCATTACCTAGATGACCTTCACCTAGATCTTCTTCTACAGCAAGTTTTTCTCATCTTAAGTTTTCTTCACAACGTGCCCATTGCTTTAGCTTGTACTTCTGTGCTCATAATTTTTAATCTTCCCTAGTTTTCAAAATTCCTTGAAATATGAAATTTGAAAACACAATAACTCCATTTCTCCTCGGATGCATGCATTCCTATGGAAACACGAACCCATACTGACAGCATATTTCCTCCAACCATTGTCTAGTAGTTGTGTAACATAGACTGAAAGCCATCTCTGGTTGGATTTTTTAGATGAAATACCCTATTTCTGCTTTTCCTTGAGCTGCTGATTGTGACATGTAAGATGGAACAAAGCTGAGGATGATAAATGTGTGTCCCCTCGGTGCCCAGGCTTGAAGTAGCCCTCCTGCTTCACAAGCCCTCCTGCTGAAGATCTGCCAAGGCGTATTGACAGCATTTTCATTCTTCTCCTGTTCACAGTGGAAGATATACACTGAATTGAAGAGTTACTAATACTTTCTTTAGTCTCACATCAATAATAGTAATAGTCCCTAATAGACTGCACTCTGCAATTTCCATAATGCAGGAAGGACGGGAGAACTTTTGGCAACCTCACTGGGAAGGATTCTGTGAAAACACAGGATGCTCCAAGAGAGACTTGCAAAGTGAGCATGTCACCGGCGATTACAGAAAACAAATGTCTTCAGATAAATGCATGCAATTCCAAGCCCTTCCCAGCCCTTCAAAACGGGTGCACACAATGAAAACTGCAGTCCAGAGGATGTTGTGTGGACATCATGGATGTGCTGAAGGAACATGATATAGACCATGGGAGGAGAGATTTGGCAGGCTTCAAAACAAGAAGGGGGCAGCTACAAAGTTGTTTAATAGCCATAAATCTCCCACTATTTTTCACAAAATACCATCTAAGACCACAGCTCCACAACTCATTCCCCATCACTCAGCTCAAGTGGAGCGCTTTGGCACGCTCACTCACCCTTAAATCATACGCCGCATAAAGTGATCCCGGGTCTGGGAAATTTGTCAGCCTC